ACCATGACTCCACCTTCTTCTATAATATCTCGTACAAAGTGATATCGAACATCAATGTGCTTCGTCCTTGCATGATAAACTTGGTTCTTTGCTAATTGGATAGCACTCTGACTATCACAAAATAGTGTGATGCTTTCTTGACCAATACCAAGCTCTCTAAGCAGCCCTTGAAGCCAAATTGCTTCCTTTACAGCCTCCGTAATTGCCATGTACTCTGCCTCAGCAGTAGACAAAGCAACCGTTGACTACAAAGTAGACTTCAAACTAACTAATGCATTTGCAAAAGTGAAAACATAACCAGTAGTTGATCTACGCTTGTCCAAATCACCCGCATAATCCGAGTCACAATATCCAACCAGATACTGACTATCTTCCTGCTAAAAAATTAATCCAACATCTATAATATTACGAATATACCGTAGAATCCATTTCACAGCTTGCCAATGCAACTTTCCTGGATCATGCATATACCTGTTTACAACTCCGATGGCATGTGAAATATGAGGTCTTGTGCAAACCATTGCATACATCAAGCTACTAACGGCATTCACATATGGCACTCCTGACATATACTCTCGTTCAGCTTCATTCTTCGGCGACATAGCATGCACTAAGCTTAAAGTGAGGAGCAAGAGGAGTGCTAACCGACTTCGTGTTATCATTCATGCCAAATCGATCGATTACTCTCTTCAAGTATTCTCTCTGAGATAGATAGAGTTTCTTTGAATGTCTATCTCTTTTTATGTCTACGCCAAGAATTTTCTTCGCCTAATCCAAATCCTTCATCTCAAACTCCTTTCTTAGTTGAATCTTCAACTTCTCAATTTCCTCTTGACTTTTGGAAGCTATCAACATATCATCAACGTATAGGAGAAGACATATGAAAGATCCGTCTTCAAGCTTGCGCAAATACATACAATGATTGTATTTGGTTCTTCTGTACTTCTGCCGCAACATAAACTTATCAAATCATTTATACCATTATCTAGAAGATTGTTTTAATCCGTACAATAATTTTTCAAGTTTGCACACCATATTTTCCTTTTCAGCAACGTTGAATCCTTCTAGCTGAGTCATATAGATTTCCTCTTCCAAGTCTCCATGTAAAAATACAGTTTTTACATCTAACTGAACTAGTTCCAAATTAAACTGTGCTACCAAAGCCAACAAAACTCTTATAGAGGAGTGTTTCACGACTGGAGAAAATACCTCATTGTAATCATTCCTCCTTTTGAGCGTACCTTTTGGCCACCAATCTTGCTTTGTAGCGAACATCTTCTTGGTTAGAAAATCCTTCTTTCTTTGCAAATACTCATTTGCACATAATTGCTTTCTTGCCCTTCGGGAGATTGGCCAATTTTCATGTTTGATTCTGATGAAGGGACTGCATTTCTTAATTTTCATGGCATTTCTTAATTAAGTGGTAGGAACACCATCAGCTATAATTGAGGCTGCACAAGCCACAGTCTCTATGAGACGAATAAGTTTTTTTATTGTTCTTTTTTGACTTGCTGGTTGCTATTGATTCAAGTTGTTATTAAGGTTCCTGAATTAGAATCTCCTTCTTTGCTGACTCTTCTTCCAAGGGAAAATCTTCTATTGTTTCCTCGTTTTCTCTCTGTATTGGAAAAATTAATTTTCCCTCAAATTTCACCTGCTTTGAAGCACCATCAGTTTGTTTGAAATCTTCAACTGTCACTTTATCTGTTATGGCAGATTCATCAAAGGTAACATCTCTGCTGAATATAATTTTTTTTGTCTCTGGACACCATAAGCGGTATCCTTTGACTCCAGAATTAATTCCCATAAATATAAATTTCTTTGCTCTTGGATCTAATTTTGACTCTTTCACATGATAGTATGCAATTGAGCCAAATACATGCAAAAAACTATAATCTTCAGCAGATTTCTCATACTATTTTTCAAATGGTGTCTTGCCACCAATAGCGGCATATGGTAGACGATTAATGAGGTGGCATGCATATGTTATTGCCCCAGCCCAAAATTCTTTGCCCAGGCCAGTATTGGACAACATACATCGAACCTTCTCCAGCAAAGTCCGGTTCATGTGTTCTACCACTCCATTCTACTGTGGTATATTTCTAACGGCGAAATATTTCAAAATACCATCATCTTCACAAATCTTATTGTAAAGATCATTTTTGTATTCTTCTCCGTTATCTGTGCGGAGACACTTTATCTTTCTGCATGTTTGAGTCTCTATCATCGCCTTCCATTTGAGAAAAATTTCCCAGCACCTCAACTTTGGTTTTCATAGTATACACTCACACTCTTGGGGGAAAAGTCATCAATAAATGTTACAAAATAGTATTTCCCATCTAATGAAGGTATTTTGGAAGCACCCCAAACATCAGAGTGAACATAATCCAAAATACCTTTAGTATTATGGATAATTGTTCCAAATTTAACCCTTGTCTGTTTCCCTTTGACACAATGCTCACAAAACTCCAAATTGCAAGTCTTTACTCCTTTTAACAATCCTTGATCTGATAAAAGTTTCAAGAATTTTCCTCCAGCATGTCCCAAGCGATTGTGCCATAGCTTGGTTGCTTCTGCCTCCTTGTCATCACTGGATGTCACTGTTGCTGTCCCAATAACTGTACTACCGTGATAGTGGTACATGTTATTATTTCACCGAATTCCCTTCATTATCACTAGTGCACCGGAGCATATTCTCATTATCCAATTTCTGCAATGACTTTGAGCCCCTTTGACTCCAGGGCTCCTACAGAAATAAGATTTTTCTTCAATTTCAGTACGTATCGAACATCTGTTAATGTTCTGATCAATCCATCATGGTTCCTTAATCCGATTAAACCAATACCATATGCGGTGAGAGAATTGTTATTCGCGGTGTGGTTAACTCCACATTCTCCTTCTTGAAAATCAACGAACCAGTCCCTGTTGGGACACATATGATAGCTACAAGCTAAATCCATCAACCATATGTCACATGGTTTGAATGGCTCAGTTGTAACTAGTGAGAAATCAGAGTCATCACAATCAGCTACATTTGAAACCATGACAGCCTTCTCATTGTTAGGTTTGGCCTTGTTTTTCAACTTTGGACAGTCTTTCTTCCAGTGCCCCTTTTCTCTATAAAAGACGCATTCATCTTTGCTGGGCCTGGATCTTGACTTGGATATTCCTTTCTTCGTTCTCATATGATTTTGAGAACGATCTCTCATGACCAGTGCTTCTCCTTCTACCCTCTTTTATTTTTCTCTTTTTCTTTGTTCTTAGTTGTACAAGACAGAACAAACTCCTTTGAGAGACACTTCATCATTCCCATGAAGTAGAGTAGTTTCGAGGTGCTCGTATTCATCGGGAAGTGAACTTAATAATATTAAAGCCATATCTCCATCACTAAAAGTCACGTCCATATTTTGCAAATCTGTCGCCAACTTATTAAAGCTGGTGATATGATCATTCATTGTAGTACCAGGAACATATGTGAAGCGTAACAGTCTTTTTTCATGTAAAGTTTACTTTGACTATTTTTCGTCAAGAATTTATCCTCCAATGCATTCCACAATTTACTTGCAGAAGTTTCTTTTGTGTATGGATACTTCTGTTCTCTTGCGAGGTAAGATCGAATGATACCGCAAACAACGCGGTTGATAATCTTCCAATCTCCTTCACCGATATTGCCTGGTTTTTTTTTCTTCTATAGCAATATCTAGCCCTTGTTGAAAAGGGATATCAAGAACCTCAGCTTGCCATATCCCGAAATGTCCTGCCCTGTCAAAAAATTTCAACTGCAAATTTCGCATTTGACATAATTCTTGTCATAAGCGAAGATGCCAACGACGTATTACTGACACCCAATGTGGACTCTTCATTTTTATTATCTCCCATTTTTTCTATAGATACTATTTATTTGCTGACAGTATAGAACATCAAAGTAATTCTTTTCTGATGTGGAGGTTTAGACTATGCTACAACCACAAAGCATATTAAGATAGAACCTTGACTCTGATACCAATTGTTGCAGAAGCCGAATATATAGAGAGTGATTAAATCAGATCTACTATATCTAAAGGTAGCTAATAAATAGTAAATGAGACAATAATAAAAAGAACACCAGAAATTAACGAGGTTCGGCAAAATTTAATTTTTGCCTAGTCCTCAGACACTATCAACTCAAATTTATTTCACTCCAAAAATACAAGTGAAATACTACAAGAGAGAAAGAAGATTCAAATGCCTTAGGAGATAAGAAGGCATGTGAGAGATGTTTACAAATGAACAAAAACTTTGCTATTTATAGAAGGGAAATGACCTTAATAGTGTCATGCATGACATCATATTAAGTGTGATCATGCAATGTAAATGCATGAAAAATGCATCTACCAATTTCTTCCTAAAAGGAGACTTCAAATATTCATACTAGTTCACATTAATCTTGTCAAATTGAGCACAAGCTGCCGTCCTTGCATTAAAGCAAGAAGTTCCAGTAGAATTTCGGATGACACCACCCAAACCACCAATCTTATTATTGCTTTTTCATATTAGACAGGACAATCATTTTAATTATTTTTCTCATATTTAGGAATAATCTTTTAATTATTTTCCTAATATTCAGGATTCCAAATTAATTATATTTTATTTATTAATATTTCTTTATTTAAATTGTATAAAGTATCTGTAATTCAATCAATTCTCTTGGATTACCTTTTAACAACAAGTCAAACCATATTAACGTGCATACAACTAAACAAAAACAATTCTTTTACAACTTAAAAGAGCCTAGTCTACAACAAACATAGAAAATATATTAAAAATCCTTTATCTTTTCTATCACAAGAATAAAAAAAAAATATTTCAAAATATATAAGAATAAACTTCTACCTTTCGAAGAATTAGATTGCGTGGGCAATCTTTAACTTCAAAGGACTTCCTTTTTGAAAAGGAGATAAAGTTCTTATATTTTTGATTGAAAAGGTAAAAAAAAAATTTGCAAAAGTCAAAGTGGAAAATATATACTGTAGTATAATTCGAAGTATTAAATATTTAGTTTATCTAGAGTTTAAAATACTAAAGTCATTATATATATGTGCTATAATTAAATTTCATATTAATTTGAACTCCTTTCCTACTCGATCAATATTTTTTCTTTATAGATTTTTTTGTGTAACTAGTCTTAACGTACACGCGTTGCGCGTGTTTTTCGTGATAATGAAAATAAAATTTTAAAAATAACATAAATATTATTCAAAATCAATAATGCAAATTTCAAAATGATAAATATTAATCATATAAGGGAGTTAGATCTAGCGGTTCTTCCTTCTTTATTTTCTTACTTGCTTCATTGTAAAAAAAGTCATAGGAGTAGCGTTGATTGATATATAAAATATTCGTTTAACTTTATCTGAGCGCTTATATACGTGCATTGCACGCATATTTCGTATTACTTATTATAAGATTTGTGTTAGATAGTTTACCATTAATTAAAAATTCTTTACCCATATTTTATTCATTTTAACAGGACTTCTAAATTGTAGCCTTATTCTATTCATACATAAGTAATTAGCCTTATTCTACTCATACCTAAGTAATTATATTGGCTTCCGAACTCGAT